GAGCCACTCATCCTTTATATTTAAGTCCATAACCCAGGACACCTGGGTGCACATGCTCACTTACACTAGACGATAGCCAAGGGACACCTGAGCACACATGCCTATTTATATCTAATGTTCAGCAAGATTCTGAACATATGAGGGGCTCTGACGATTTTCCTATATTTTCTCAATACTGGTCCTTTTAAAAAACATCTAACACTGTACTTAGAAATTAATCCACATCAACATAAAAGTTGCTTCTTTGACTATGGATATTTAAATTTTGCCATTAGAAACAGTACTGCAGAGGATAACTTTGTACATGTATCATTTTTATACATTTGGAAATTTTTATAGGGTAAATTCCTAGAAATAAAATCTTTAGTTCAAAGTGCCTTTACATTTATTTTGGTAGATATTTCCAAATTATTTTTCTTAGTATTTGTATCAGTTTATACTCCTACCACACTGTTGGAATCTTACCATTTATTATGTGGATTTAATTGAGCATAGTCTCACCATTTATTATGTAGACTTTCACTTAATCTCCTAGATCATGTATGCTATTTCCATTCTCTGCTTTGCATGGTATCCCCAATCTAGTCTTCTGCCAAGATGGAGAGAGGTAGTTGCCTGACTGGCAGAGGAAAAGGATGCAACCTGAGTGTCTGACTGCTTCCTACACAGTCTTTCAACTAACCCTCTTTTAGTCCTAATATGCTTATTAGCCTCACTCTCAGATGCACCTGGTGCTTCCAATTATTGAGCAAGTTTGTGGTGGAACTTATTTGTTTCTGACTTATTTCCCACTGCTGGCTTAGAATACAGCTTTCTCTAGCCTCCTAAGTCAGTTGTTGCTTGTTCTTATGTTTGCCAGCTTCCACAATTGTATTGCTGTTGCCTTCTCACCTGTTGTGCCTTTTTGATCCCTTTAAAGTCATGTTAGGTTTGGGGTAGAAAAAGAGATAAATAAGAGGGTACCTCAAAACGTTCATGGAAAGATTTGTATTATCTTTTAATTCTATTTTTCTGTGAATTTTTTGAAGTACTTTCATATGTATGTTCAGTCTGGTATACTTAACTGTAAGTTGTGTTTTTTATTTACTTTTAAAGAGTCAGGCTAACTAAATTATTGTCATGACTTCTTTTGATCTTTTGGTGGAAGGGCTTCAGCTGTAGTCCTTCATCATTTCTACTCTTTGTGGCTAAGAGTACAATTCTAAAGAATATTGAAGTTTTCTGTTTTCTGACCTACTTACTCTTTTATTTTCTTCTCCTTGAGTCATGGACTATTAGGGTTGGTAAGGCCTTTTTTTTTTTTTTTTGTCTTTTTTTGTCTTTTTTTGTCTTTTTCCGTGTCCGGCAACGGATCGCAACCCTCAGTGTTGCCCCCGTACCGGACCGGGGACCGGCAACGGGATTGCAACCCTCGGTGTTGCTCCCGCACCTCGCTCAACCAGTGAGCGGGAACCGGTCTGTATGTGGGATCCGAACCCTCGGGCGGGAGCGCCGCCGCGCTTCCCAAGCGGCGCACTATCCAGTGCGCCACTGGGCCGGCCCCTGGTAAGGCCTTTAAGATAGAATTATGTTTAAATCTTTAGTGTTTTTAGATGAAGAAACTGAAGCCCAGAGAAGTCAGGTGGTTAGCTTTTGGTTATGGAGCTGGTCTCTGCTCTTTATTTTTAATTCATTGCTTTATTTGTTATATTACATAACTCTTTGGATAGCTAAAATATCAAAAAAGTTTCTGATTTTATTCTTTTTGAATATCTTTCATACATGTATTATAGAAATTAAATCGATATACTTATTGGGACCTTAAGAATACTGCAGAGTGAGTCAAGTTGGTATTGTGATTTTCCAACTTGTGTTGGAAGCTGAAACATAGAAAAGGCAAACATTTATTTGTAACTTGAGTTTATTAAAATAGTGAAATCAGAACAGGATTGTTATGTTCCTTTACTTACATGTTATTATGATTTTGGATGTGGAAGCCTATAGTGTATTTTGTTATATTTCATTTGGTTTGAAAATTTTCAAGGTTTATAGTTCAGTTGGAAGTCTTACAACTAGGAAATAAGTAGCTCGGTTAAATATGTTGTAAGACACTGAAAATAATCTATTTTTTCATGTTTTCCCTTTTATTTCCTCTAATGTACATTGACTCTACAGAAAAGGAGAGCTTGTCAGTTGTTCTGAAACTCATCTACCACAAGTCTTTTATTCAAGAAGGTGTCTGCACTTGACATTCTTTTTTTTTTTTTGTCTTTTTCCGTGTCTGGCAACGGATCGCAACCCTCAGTGTCGCCCCCGCACTGGACCAGGACCGGCAACGGGATCGCAACCCTCGGTGTTGCCCCCGTGCCTCGCTCAGCCAGTGAGCGGGAACCGGTCTGTATGTGGGATCCGAACCCTCGGCGGGAGCGCCGCCGCACTTCCCAAGCGGCGCACTAGCGCAGTGCGCCACCGGGCCGGCCCAGCACTTGACATTCTTTGATAGCAATTGGAGTCATCTTTCTTCACTACCAGGGCAGTAGATTCTCTTCTTCAGAGTTAGAACCACAATGCTCAGTAATGTGGTTGGCAGTATAATGTAATACTAGGAACTCCTGGAGATTCCATCTTGTTAGTGCGGTCCCTGGAAAGGAATTGGCAATTAAATTTTGAGGAAGGGCCAAATCGACTAATTTTGTTTTTCTTCTCTATGCAAAATGTCAAAGAATAATAATGGTTGTGAAACAATATCATTATGTGGTTATTATTTAATGTAATTTAATTTATGAAGTTTAGTTTTCTAAGATAAGTTTATCTTGATTTTTTTTTTTTTTCTAAGTAGCATAGTAATGTAATATATGAAACTTTCATTTCCTGGAGAAATCATTAAATTTTGGCTGATGCCCAAGTAGCCATTATATTATGCCAGTTAACACAACTTGGACTTGAAAATATGTTTGGGATAACTTATTCTTTAACTAAGTGATGGTGCTATAGTGCTATAATAGTGGTTTATTTCTTGTTTCTCTTACAGTTGCTAAAAACATTCTCATTTCCTACAGAAATTTTGAAATAGTAAATGGTTATAAGGTTTTCTAAGGTAGAGGAAGGCTCTTTCCCATAAATTTCATAAGGCATAATGATCCCATTTATTTTACCACAGGTTGGGTTCTGACCTTTAGTCTTGCAAGCTCAGAATATAAATTTTGCATTTAAGGAGATTGGATAATTTTTTAGAGGCAAAATAAAATTAAACAAATTTAGTATTGATGGATGAAATGAGAACATGGATTTATTAATTTACAATGTTGGTAAATCATCACAGGAATTTTGAAATAGTTCCATGATTAGCTCATTTTCTTCTAGAAGGAATTTATACATTGGAAGCCTGCTTGCTATGAATGAAAATAGAAAAAAGCAAGTTGGGTGAATTAAATGTTTATTAGGTTCAGATTAACATCATGAATTCAGGTATGTCTGCAATAGGATGATCTTGCCAATAGGCAGTGCTGATTATTGCTTTTATGACACTTTCACGTTTTTTTTAGCTTTCACTATCTAGTGTGTTGTATTTGACTTGTGAACTTACTACTTTCCTGAAATTACTATTGCTAAAGCTACTAATGACCTTAAATGAATTATCTTGGTATGGTAACGGTCTAAGTATGATACCAAAACCAGAAATATAAAGAAATGATTAATAAATTTGTTCATGTCAAAATAAACTTTGATATTTAAATAAATGGAAAGGCAAATAGAATAAGGGGAAAAATCATTTATGACAGATAACGGGTTCATTACATAGGAGGTTTTATAAGTTAATAATAATAAGACTAACCCAGTGGAAAATAGAAAAAGAACACGGGTGAATAGTTCAAAAGGGAAGAGATACAAATGTTCGATGAATGTGGAAGAATTTTTCAAATTCACTAGTAAGCAAAAGAAATTCGAATAAAAGTGAAGCACCACTTTCCCCATCAAACCTAATGAGTAACAATAACAAGTAGTGACACAGTGCGTAGTGTGTGCCAGGCACTGTTCTTAGTACAGTAGTTAAATTAACTCATTTTGGGCTGGCACATGAGCTGTTAGTTAGAGCATGGTGCTGATAACACGAAGGTCCAGGGTTCAATCCCCATACCTGCCAGCCAGCAAGAAAAAGAAAAGAAAAATTAACTAATCCTCTCAACAGCACATACTACAGTTATCTACATTTTGCACATTAACAAATTGAAGCACATGAAGTAACTTGTCCAAGGTCACATAACAAATAAGTGATAGAGCTAGGATTTAAATACAAGCTCTCTGACTCTAAGCAGTGCTCTTTATCTACTACCCTTTATTGCCTCTTAAAGATTTTAATAAATAACGAGGTTTAATAAGGATACCTAGGGATAGACACGTTTATATTCTATTGGTTAGAATATAAATTAATAGACATTTCTGTAAGACACTTAAGTAGCATGTTCACAAGCTTTAACATGTGCATATTCTTCAAGTTTAGAATTTTATCCTAAGGAAATCCTTACAATAAGTACATTAAAATACGTACAGAAATTTTATCTGAAAATTGTTTTATAATAGCAACATTTTAAACAATTTAAATGTTTATTAAGAGGGGATTAGTAAAATAACTTTGGGAAATAGTGTCTTATTAAGCTTGCATTCTTATTGAAGAAAATAAAGTAATGCTATTAATTAATTCATGTAGGAAAAAGTTTGCCTTTCTCTCAATAGATTTTAAGTATATACAGTATTTGGCTTTCCAAAACATTCTTATAAAATTGAGATGTCACTTTTGGTTTTCTCTTTTTAACTATTACTAGGTTACATGAGTAAATTGAGGTAAAGTTTATTTAACTTTAAGATGTTAAATATACTTTTTTTTTAAAATTTAGCAAATCACTAAGGAATTAGAATTTGAATTAAACATTATAATTGTTATAGAAGACATGATTTATCTCTTTTTACTGTTACTTTTTTTTATGTCTAGCATATTTGTAAAGATGCCTTAGAAAAAGAACCATGGAGAAGTATGTTAGACTACAGAAGATTGGAGAAGGTTCATTTGGAAAAGCCATTCTTGTTAAATCTACAGAAGATGACAGACAATATGTTATCAAGGAAATTAACATCTCAAGAGTAAGTGTATTTTAATCTTGCTTCTTCCAGGATCTAATAAAAAAATGAATTAGTATGTTTTTAGTTTGGTTACACAAGTAATAGTTTGGTTACAGTAGGGCTCTTTGTTGGAGAATTTAAAAAATATATAGTAAGGTATAACTTAAAGTGAATGACTGCCATAATCCCAAGGAGAACCACTAATTTCAGAATAGTCTGTATATCCTTTTAGATTTTTTTCTATAATGTGTGCTTGTGTTTAATGTATTAGAAAAATATACCTACTGTTCTGTAACTTCATCTAGTTTTGACATCTTAAAATGTTCTTACTTTTAGGTTCCCCTCATTCATTTTTAACTTCTTGCTATATTTTGTTGATTGGACTGTATTGGTGCGATTATTTTTGTAACTACTCTCATTGATGACTTTTAGGTTGTTTAGTTTAGACTTAACTTACTATTTTCTTTTTTTTCCCTCCCAATTAAGATGTCTAGTAAAGAAAGAGAAGAATCAAGGAGAGAAGTTGCAGTATTGGCAAACATGAAGCATCCAAATATTGTCCAGTATAGAGAATCATTTGAAGGTCAGATAAATTTTGCAAGAGAGTTCAAAAGAAATCCTAAGCTATTCATAACTTTGGATTTTTTCCTTATACGGAGTCTTTTTGTGACTGTATTCTAAGGAGAAAAGAATATAATTTTTGCTTCAGTACATATGCATATGAATATCAGCTTGATTGTAGGATAATACTGATATCACACTGTCCCTGTATAGTTTAATCTGGCTCCCTGTTATTAGTCATTGCTTAAAAAGAAGCAATGTAGTAAGTGCAAGAATTTGGACAAAGCAAGAATAGTAATTGTATTAGTCCATTTATGTTGCTTATAACAAAATACTTGGGACTGGGTAATTTGTAAGAAAACAAAATTTATTGCTTACAGATTCAGAGGATGGGAAGTCCAAAGTCCAGGGAACACATCTGGTAGTGGTGACAATGACCCAAGGGTCTCACATGACAGAAAATGGCAAGGGGGGGGGCTTTTTTCTCTTTAAAGCCCTCAGAACCATACCCATGACTACCATTAAATCTTTCACTATGTCAGGATCGTCACAATCTAATCACCTTTTCAAGGCTCCACCTTTCAATTACCGTAATAGGATTTACCACCCTCTTAATGTTGTTATAGTGGGGACCAAGCCTCCAACACATTAAACTTGGAGGGACACAAATCAGTCCACTGCATTCTGCCCCTGGCCCCCCCAAATTCATGTCCTTCTCACAGGTAAATACATTTGCTTCATCCCCAGAGTCTTAACTTTTTACAATTCAAAAGTCCAAAGTCTTGGGTCCCATCTGTGAAATCAAAACAAGTTATCTACTTCCAAGATACAGCGGTAGGATAAACATAGGGTACAGTTTCCTGCTGAAAAGGGAGAAATAGGTTGAAAGAAAGGGGTAACAGGTCCTAAGCAAGTCTAAAATCCAGCAGGGCAGGCATTAAATGTCAAAGCAGGTGAATCATGTACTTTCTGTTTTTGTTTTTTGGATTTTTTAAAAAAAATTTTACTTCTCAAAATACATTGTACTTGATTTTCATGCCCCTTTACTCGTTCCTCTCCACCCCCTCCCGCACCCCCACATCATATCTGTTCACTTGACTTAAATAGTTCAAGGAATTTTTGTGGTTATTCTGTCTTCTTCCCTCCCTCACTCTTTATTTGTTTGTTTGTTTATTTATTTTTAACTCACACAAATAAGTGAGAACATGTGGTATTTCTCTTTCTGTGCCTGACTGGTTTCACTTAATATAATTTTGTCTGAGTCCATCCATGTTATTGTGAATGGTAGTATTTCATTCTTTTTTATAGCAGAGTAGTATTCCATTGTGTACATGTACCACAGTTTCTTTATCCACTCATCAGATGATGGATATTTGGGCTTGTTTCAGCTCTTGCCTATTGTAAGTAGAGCTGCAATAAACATTGGAGTACAGTTATCCCTTCGGCATGATGATTTCCATTCCTCCAGGTATATTCCCAGCAGTGGAATCGCTGGGTCATATGGTAGATCTATCTGTAATTGTTTGAGGAACCTACATATCTTTTTCCATAAAGGCTGCACCGTTTTGCAGACCCACCAACAATGAATAAGAGTTCCTTTTTCTCCGCAACCTCTCCAGCACTTAACATTCACAGTCTTTTGGATATTAGCCATCCTAACTGGGGTGAGATGGTATCTCAATGTGGTTTGATTTGCATTTCCCAAATGCTGAGTGATGTTGAGCATTTTTTCATCTGTCTGTTGGCCATTCGTATATCTTCCTTTGAAAATGTCTGTTCAGCTCTTTTGCCCTTTTTTTAATTGGCTTATTTGTTTTTTTGCCGTAAAGTTGTTTCAGTTCCTTGTATATTCTGGATATTAATCCTTTGTCAGATTTATATTTTGCAAATATTTCCTTCCACTCTGTTGGTTGTTTTTTTACTCTGTTGATTGTTTCTTTTGCTGTGCAGAAGTTTTTATTTTGATATAATCCTATTTGTTTATTTTACCTTTATTTCCTGTGCTTTTTGGGTTCTAGTCATGAATTCTGTACCCACTCCTACTTCCTGAAGTGTTTCTCCTATGTTTTCTTTAAGGAGTTTTTTTTGTTTCAGTATGTATATATATATATATTTTTTTTTTTTCCTTTTTGTCTTTTTTACTGACCGGTAACGGGATCGCAACCCTCGGTGTTGCGCCCGCACCGCACTCAGCCAGTGAGCGGGAACCGGTATCCACATGGGATCCGAACCCTCGGCGGGAGCGCCGCCGCGCTCCCAAGTGGCGCACTTGCGCCACCGGGCCGGCCCTCAGTATGTATATTTAATTCTTTAATCCATTTTGAGCTGATTTTGGTATATGATGAGAGGTAAAGGTCTACGTTCATTCTCCTACATATGAGTATCCAGTTTTCCCAGCACCACTTGTTGAAAAGGCAGTCTTGAATCATGTACTTTGACTTCATGTTTTATGTCCTCTGCAGTCTGGTGCAGGGGTTGGGTTCCCAAGTCATTGGGCAGCTCTGCTCCTATGGTTTTTCTGACATCAGTCTGTGCTTCAGCTTTCCCAGGCTGGCATTCCACTTTGATAGCTCCACAAGTCTGGGGTCTCAATGGTGGTCCCACTCCCTTAGCTCCACGAGGCATGGTGCTGCTGCAACTCCAACCCCACATTTCTGCTCAACATTGCTCTAATGAAGGCTCTCTGTGGTGACTCCACCCTGTTACAGATCTCTTCCTGGGTCCCCAGGCTTTTCCACACATCTTTTTTTTTTCTTTTTGTCTTTTTTACTGACCAGTAACGGGATCGCAATCCTCGGTGTCGCGCCCGTACCGGGTACCGGCAACAGGATCGCAACCCTCGGTGTTGTGCCCGCACTGCGCTCAGCCACGGAGCGGGAACCGGTCTCCACATGGGATCCGAACCCTCAGCGGGAGCGCCGCCGCGCTCCCAAGCGGCACACTCTCCAGTGCGCCACCGGGCCGGGCCTCCACACATCTTTTGAAATTGGGGTGGAGGCTCCCAAGTTTCCAAAGCTGTGGCATTCTGTGAGCCTGCAGACTTAAAAACAAGCTGCCAAGCCTTCTGCTTGTATCTTCTGAAACTGTGGGTCCAGCCATGCCTGAGGCCAATTTAGCCAAAGCTAGAGCAGCTGGGATGTGGGAAGCCCATCCTGAGGTGGCCCTGGGCATCAAGCCTGTGGAGGGCACCTCAGGCCTCTTTCCTGAGACCATTCTGTCTCCCTAGGCCTTTGGGCCTGTGATAGAAGGGGCAGCCTCGAAGACTTCTTAAATACCTTCACGGCCTTTTTCCCTTCTCTTGATAATTCTTTTCTTCTGTCCTAATCTCCTAATCTCTTTAGCAAATGGTCCCCGGGTTATACCCGAGCTATGGCCAGGCTGAAAGACTTCTGCTTTTTCGCTTTTCTCTGCTTTCTTTTGAATTATAAATTCTGGCTTTTCTTTATGCCTTTTCTGCCCTAACTCCTCATAGGCTGTTTGAAGTAGCCATGCAGCTTCCTGAATGCTTTGCTGCTTAGAAATTTCTTTTGCCAAATACCCTGGTTCAGCATCTTTAAGTTTCCACATTCCGTAAAACTTTTGGGCATGAAGAGAATGCAGCAAAGTTCCTTGCCAGTTCGTAGGAAGGGTGATCTTTGCCCCAGTTTCTACTAAGTCCCTTTTCATTTACATCTGAGATCTCAGAATGGCCTTTACTGTCCATATTTCTATCAGCATTCTGCTCACCACCATTTAGCCAGTCTGTAAGAACTTCTGAATTTTCCCTTGTCTTTTTTTTTTTTTTTTTTTGTCTTTTGTCTTTTTCTGTGTCCGGCAACGGATCGCAACCCTCAGTGTTGCCCCCGTACCGGACCGGGGACCGGCAACGGGATTGCAACCCTCGGTGTTGCTCCCGCGCCTCGCTCAGCCAGTGAGCGGGAACTGGTCTGTATGTGGGATCCGAACCCTCGGGCGGGAGCGCCGCCGCACTTCCCAAGTGGCGCACTATCCATTGCGCCACCTGGCCGGCCCCTTCCCTTGTCTTTTTGTCTTCTGAGTCCTCCAAACTCCTCCAACCCTTTTTCCAACACCCAATTCCAAAGCCACTTCCACATTTCCAAGTATTTGTTATAAGCAACACCCCATTTCTATGGTACCAATTTCCTGTGTTAGTCTGTTTCTGTTACTTGTAGCAAAATACTTGGAACTGGGTAATTTGTAAGAAAATGAAATGTATTGCTTACAGTTTCAGAGGCTGGAAGTCAAAAGTCCAGGGAACACATCTGGTGGTGGCGACAGTGACCCAAGGGTCTCACATTACAGAAAATGGCAGAGCAGAGAGAGAGAGAGAAAGAGCACTTCATGTGCCCTCCCTTTAAAGCCCTCAAAACCATGCCCATGACCACCATTAAATCATTCACTGTGGGGCCGGCCCGTGGCTCACTCGGGAGAGTGCGGTGCTGATAACACCAAGGCCCCGGGTTCGGATCCCATATGGGAATAGCCGGTTCACTCACTGGCTGAGTGTGGTGCTGACAACACCAAGTCAAGGGTTAAGATCCCCTTACCGGTCATCTTTAAAAAAAAAAAAAAAAAAAAAAATCATTCACTGTGGCAGGATCCTCACAATCTAATCATCTCTTCAAGGCCCCACCTCGCCCTTACCATAATAGGATTTCCCACCCTCTTAACACTCTCACAGTGGGGACCAAGCTTCCAACACATTAAACTTTGGTGGTGGGGGTGGGGGGGGACACAGTTCAATCCACTGTAGTAACTTACGTACTTTTAAATTAAACTTCCTTGAAGTGCTGTCACCACTACCCCTGACAAAATGTTCTGATTTTTAACAAGTAACCTACTCATTAGTATTCTGTTCTGTATTTCATTAATATAATATTGAGTTATATTGAAAGTTTTCTCAAGCTCTTAAAATGTTATATTTGATGATGTAGGAAGGAAGATAAGGAAAGCTTCTCTAAAGGCTCGTCAAAATAGTTTATTGAATTCCTACCCAAATACCATTTCCATTTTCATCATAAA